CTGCAATCAATGATAGATTCAAGCTGACTGTAATTAATAGCTTATTACCTCAGATCGGTTTAATGGATGCTATCGGTTTCCCAAAGCCTGAGGATGGTTACTCATAGATCAAGGTCAAGAGCCATGCTTGATAGTCGCAGTGTGTAGCCACTTTAAACACAATGTTTTGTTTTTCCATCGTTCTCAAGACTTTCCCATTCTCCTGACACTTCCTCACTCACAGACACAAACAAAGAGAGAAAAAACATGTATGCCAGCAAGCACAAATACACGATGCAGCGAGGACCCTGCCACTCGCTATCCTCCGACAGCATCAATGGACCGTTGGGAGAAGATGACAGTTGGATAAGATTGATGAGCTGTAGGCCAAAGGGGTTATCCCCCTCGACATCCTTAGGAAACACTCTGACTTGGTTTCCCTGGGCTCCCACAAAACCCTGTGACAGCTGATACAGACGTCTGACTATGCACCCACAAACCCCGGTGACACCAGTGACACCACGCCTTCAAGTCTCAATTCAGGACGTCCTGAGTGGTTGTCGGGCCCGGGTGAGAGTCCAGCCGAGCCCCCCAACCACGCCCTTGGTGACACAGCGGTCTGGAGAGGGCACGGAGAGGAAGTGGAGATGTCACGGTTCTGGCTGTTTTTAATTGATGAGTGGACTTGAATGAGGACCTGGCAAGCTGGCCTTCTGAAGACTCTTCGAGCCAGAACAAATGTATTAAGGTTCAACTTCAGAAAGCCAGCCTATGGTAAACATACTGACAGGAAGGGCTATTGAGCCAACCACACTGTGACACCTGATTTTCCTTTCAGCTGACAAAAGGTCCCAGCTCAAGCTTTCGTCAGCATCTTATGACCAGCACAACTCCATTGCTCTTACTAAGACCCTATGAGAAATGATATCAGGTATTTTGTAAACAATTCTTACTATCAGGTCTCCAGATTAGTTTTCCGGTTTTGTTGTGGAGAACATTTCCAATAACTTAATATCAGATAAAACATGTAGATTGTATACCGCCATGCTACTGGCTTGGTCAGGCTGTTACGGCCCATCCACACAGCGGCGTGCGTTGAAGCTTCAACGCTTCTGCCCATTCACTTTGAATGGGGTCACGTCACGCATCGCCGAACTGCATTGTGGGAGCAAAGCGTGGCTTTTCTCGCGGTGCTCGCTGCAAAAGTTGAGCAATGTTTAACTTTTGAAACTTCGACGGAAGCGTCAGCCAATCGAATCATATGCCAGTACAAGCTCTAGCCAATCAAACCGCTGCTTGTGTGTCCGGGGCGGGAGCTTCATGTGATTGGTTGTTGGTCGAGCTTCACACGCCCGCCGGCAAGCTTCAACGCACGCCGCCGTGTGGACGCTGCGTCACTGTATAGTTATGGTGCAACACATTATTAGAAACTAGAGAAAGTGAAGAAGGATTGGCTGCAATAACAACCGTTACAACAGCCGTTACTTCAACCTTAGCTGCAACCATTGCTGGAGTTTTGAAGCTGATACGGAAATGCCAGAGAAATCTGGTCAGGATATATTAGCCAATTATTCCGTTTACATACACATATTTTTGATAACAAGCCCTTTAATGTGTTCTTTAATTAATTGTGACCAAGCCATGCACCGAGTAAGACATTTTGCAGTTAAATATTACCCTTGTCAGTGCTCTCTGGGGGACAAACTATTTAATGGTGTTTTCTATTTCTAAATTACCACAGTGAGCTACAAGCAGCAGGGTTTTGGGAATGTTATGACTTAATTAGTGAGCTGACAGAGGAGAGATGACAGGAAATGAGAGGAGAGCGAGATGCAACAAACAGTAGTTCATAAAACAATGTCACCGCGCTGTTCTTTGGGCTTTCAATCATAATTCATGGTCTAATTGACAAACCTTATGATATCTTGGTTAAAGTTGACGTGCTTTAAAGGATCTTGAGATATGGTTAAACAATCCAGAACAACCACTGGTGACACATTTAGAGGTTGAACAATGAGTTTATAAAAGGCCTTGGAAATACAGAACAAAGAAAGAAATTAAACGGGCCCTATTACACTCTTTTGCACCCCTTTTCACCCTTTTGTGTGGGAGAGAGAACTTTGGGATGTTAGCCTTTGCAGACCATTTACATGCACGAAAACCTATCTCAAACACACACACACACACACACACACACACACACACACACACACACACACACACACACACACACACACACACACACACACACACACACACACACACACACACAGTGCAGCCACCCTTACTGTCCATCTATAAACATCCCAAGCCTCTGACAGTGTCACCACCACAGGTGGGGGATGGAAGAAAAATGAGAGGAGAGGAATAGAGAGCAAACAGAGAGGATATCCAAGCGTGCAAATTCATACAGTGGTTGAAAAGAGATGACAAAGACAAGAATGAGGAGAAATGAGCAGGAGGAGGATTCTCCTTATGGAAAACAAGAATGGGACCATGGCATAAAGAAACATGAGTATGGTTTGAGGGCATAATGGACACATTATTTCCTTTTCTCTGTATTCCCCCAAAAGAATAGAGGCCTCTAGTTGGAGGTGCAATCCACAGCTTACACTCAGAAATGTCTTCTAGGCAAAATAAATGATTCTAAAAGAGACATTTCCATAATACCATATTATCGCTGCGCATTAGGGCATTGTCTTTTTGTCCCACTTTCCAACATGATACAATACAGTGAACCCTGGTGCAAATCACTTTGAAAGGAGCAAAGAAAAACTGGGTGAAATTCCAGTTCATTCAAATCCTGGATGGAGGGTGCATGGACTCTGTACTTTTGCACGCAAATACAGACACACAAAGCAGTGTGTTGAAGAGGATTAACGCGGGCTTGAATTTCAACAGAAAGAATCCCTGTCTACAAGCACTACGGAGCAAATCTGGCTTTAGAAACGATCCTCATCCCAGAGCACCGTGGTACAATAGGAGGCTGAACCTAAAACCCTGCCTTTGAAACATGTTCATTTTTGAGGATGCCAGAGGACATTTGCAGCTGGATTATCAGCTCCCGAATCAAACGCAACATCTGCATGGAAAACACAGACGCTTAACTATTTCAATAAACAAGTGAAGACTGTGCAATCCTGTGTCCATATACAATTTGATTGAAAACACCAGAACATGGTACAAAGCATTCCACTTGTTCTACTGCAGGCAGGCGTGTATCTGGGAATACCGGCTGGAATGCACATATCTCCGGGAATGTCTGATATCCCGGCATGTGTAAATGTTAGCGCAGGGAGAGAGCTGAAAGTGGGCGTTTGTGTGTGTGTTCGTGTGTGTTTGGAAAGAAAATAAGTAGCTGTCTTCTTCTGCCTTTGTATGAATCTTAAGTAGTCCCACGTTGAGGGGGGCTTTGTTCGCGTCCACCATGGGGGGGGGGGTCACGTCCTCCAACTTTTCCCCTCACTTCCTTTTTTGGCGTAACATTTATCATTCTTCCACGTCAAACAATCCTTCTACAACATGGACTAGCATCAAGCGCACAATAAACTCCCGCCCCCACCCTGTTTCGCCCCTTCTTGGTTGCTCGGATACCTTTCATCCAACGGGACAGCTAGTCAACAACATCATCACTTACTTAGAAACTCCCAACCTTGCCTTCACTTTGGTCTAGCAGAGCCTTGTTAAGAAAGTACTGCCTCATCTTGTTTTCAAAATAAAGCTCCTCAAGCCATCTTTTTTTTTTCTTGTTTGCCTTTAATGTTGCATCCAAAACAGTTAAAAACTTCCAAGCCTAAATGTCTGGCTCTTCAAAACTTGTCAAGCATCCTTTGGGGAATGGCAGACATGGTGCAACCTTCTAATTTGCAAGAGAATTCCCCTTTGTGCAAATATAGCATTATCCAGTTCCACTTCACAACTAACATGCACAATATTTTAGACTGACATTAAGTTGTGCTAGTGTTCACCCTGAGGCCTGTTTCATAGAAAGAGTGACTCACCAGACTTCCCCTTTCTTCCTCAAAAGGCTAAACAGGTGCATTAGTAATAAGTGGAAAGATGCTGGACGTTGACTAAGTGCATTTAAACACTAATACACATCAACCTAATTTCATCCAACAACACTAAGGGTTGGACCACCAAGGAAATAAAACTCCATTGCATGCATACAAACCCCCCCTGCCTCTTCACTGAGTTCTACATAAGCATCCATAATCACCATGATTCCTCAAAGTATCCTGAAACAACCTGTTTCTTCTGTTGTGTTGCTAGGCTTGCCAAACTTTTTTAAACTGCCTCTTTTATTTGTGGGAACTCAAGCACATAATAGGCCTGGCCTTGTTTGGCCTCCGCCATGTTTGTGCCTATCCCTTTCAGCCGAGTGGTCTGCACCACTTATTCTGCTTATTATTAAAGCTGACGGCAGATTATTTTGCTTACTGCACCCAAATTCTCCATCCTCTATATAGATCAAATCCAGCAAACCCTGGGCCGAGAGACAAAGGTTTAAGTTCACAAAAGAGACAAAAAGAGAAAGGAGATAGGGAGCATAGAGAGCAGGTCCAATGTGAAAAGAGGGAAGAGGGAACCGTGAAAAAGGAAAAAGGGGACGAACACAGAGAAGACGCAAAAGGAAGAGATAAAACAGTGAAAGCTCAAAACACTTTAAATGACTGGGTTTTGTCAGGGAAATAAAGGGCAACTATAAGCAGCAGCAACATACAAGCACAGAGAATGCAAATCAGCCCCGATGCAAATGTCATACGTCTTCAGGGGCAAAACAGACTGTCTTTATACCAAACCCCCCGCAACAAAACACACTTCTCTCTGTGCTACCAGAACCCCCCCATTCTCCTCCACTTCTGTACTGAAAACACTCACACAAACACTTCCAGGAGACAATCTTGTGCACAGCGAGAGAAGCGTAATCACACGAGACAACATCATCATCTTCTTACGCACAAAAGGACCACAGAGTACAGTTTACACAAACACACTTCTGAAAAAGATAAACCACTTACTTGTCCGTCATGGCGTCGGCTAGCGAATACTGATGCATTAAAATTCCTTTTCACTGTTCTCCACACAGAAGTTAGGAATGGTTGAGGAAGAGGCCAGAGGCAAATGTCTCAACACCAGTCTACAGGAGAGGGGGGGGGGGGGGGAAGCAGAGTAAATCATTGGTTCACAACTACAGTAGGAAGACAAGATAATTTCAATAGAACAACTTTCAATCATACACAACTCACAAAATGGAGAGAACCACCAGTCAATGTTCAAGATAATGTTTTTAAACATTGGTAAATGACCTAAAGATTGTCAATTTGCTTACATATCTTCAAGCAGAAATCAGGCAATGTCTGCCATTTTTGTCCGGAAGATGAATAAAACAATCAATTAATTATAAAAATAGTTGCGTCAATCGTCTTACATTGGATTTTATTATGCAAATTGATACCTTTGATAAGATACAATTATCCAATGCGCTCTGATGAGAAACAAACACTTTATTTAAAAATTTTAAAAAGCGAATCACTTCTCATGTGATGTTAACCGCATGTCAATCAGAGACGACAAAGAGACCCCCGATCAGCCCACCGAGCAGGCCTGGACTGAAGCTAACTTTGCAGACACGCTTGACTTGCTCACAATTAGCCTAGCAAGGCCGGGTCTCTTCAACTTTCTGGGGGATACCGTTGCCATAGTTACCCAGGCAGCCAACCAGCCAGCTAGTATAAACAGAGAGCACCAAGAGACCCTCAGACAGTATGGATCGCATTAGATGGAGAATGCATTGTGTGACTGAGGAGCAATAAGAACCTGTGATCATCCAGAATCAAAACTTGCATAATAAATCATCACGAATAAAACCAATGATCTAGAGAGTGTTACAAATGCCATAAACACACCTCTGCTAATTGTCTTATTTGGTAATGCACATAAATCAGCAGCTGTTCACTGCCAGCATTCAGGTTTTTAAATGTTAATGAGGCGGTGGCGCGTCCTGGGTCCTGCTGGCTGATGAGCAACCTCCGAAACATTAGCTTATCTTCTGCTTATCTGCCTTTAACGGATTATGATAACACATTAGATTCATAGATTGGATCCGGGTATGTGTGGACATAGATTGTGACCTGCCAGATTGGGGTTTAGGTTCCATAAGCAGATAAGGGTTAGAAACAAATTCACATATAATAGAGTGCAGCAAAAAAGGAAAAGCTTTTAAATCGTGTTTTACCTCAGAAATACGTCTGTTTCAGTTAATAATCCCACCCTGATTAACCAAAGAGGACTTAATGGTTTTATGTCTGTCAGCTATAACTGAAAAAAGACAGAAGAGTGAGGGTAAACCCCGCCCAATCCTATCAGCCACAAACCCAGACAGACAGCCACCAGCCTCAGAGGCAGCCAGCGGCAGTCTGTCTGATCTCAGTTCAAGAGGCTGATGTGCCCCCTTGTCCCTGCTTCCTTTCTCCTTTTCCATATACATCACCTCTGAACTCTGAGTGTTTTCAAGACCTCTGTCTTTTCCAATGCTCACCTGTCCATTTTTGTTCCTATCGAATGGCAGCTCACTGATCTTTGTTTACGTGTCTGTCTTCAGTGCAGAACAGACATTAGCTGTACACACCCAAGTCATCTCCGGTAACCAAATAATTTCCTTTTGTCTCAGCTGGTGTGTCTACCGGAAATATTTTCAAAAGAAGAAAAACTCAGACAGTGCAGTTACCGTTTGAGACATTTGAATGAATTGTATGATTGTGAAAGGTTATCTGCCAATTCATAATGACTCTTTGTCAACTTGAGGCTTCACCAGAATGTTACGCCACTGCATTTCTCTGGAGAAGCGTCATATCCAAATGACATTTCCTGACATTACAAAATAGTTGAAATGCGCAAGAGTCCATGCTTTTGCACAATGTGGCAATCCACAGAAACACGAGAGCATGCCTGCTGTTGTGATGATGTATGAAGTGTTTTCCTACAAAGCTAGGAGTTCCTTACCCTAAGCCCAAAATTAAAACTCTTGCCTTCTCACGCAGACATTGATACATTGCCTGGATGCTGGCATTCAACACAATGCTAAATGCAGTGGACAGTAAAGAGCAGTAAAACTGTGCTGCAAGACATCTGCAGCTGGAAGTTTAAAAAAGGTCAAGTGAAAGGCATCAGATGTACTTAAAGAACTGAGCACTTTGAAGTGAAGCGATAGCACTTGAAAAGACATGCAACGGAGCTTTGATCTACCTGAGCAAAACACTCACAAACCATTAAATCCAGCATCTGTTTTCAAGTGTTTCAATGCCCAGTAAAAAGAACAACTTGTGGCATGGTAGAGGGAAATCTGAAATGTCCAAGCTGGGAGGGCCAAGTGACTCCGAACCCTGTTGAGGGAGATTTATGAACTCCTGACAACAGCCAGCCAGGAGAAGACGAACTGTTTCCACATCTAAAGCCTCCCCCACTACACATTTTATATCAGACGTTCTGCAGAGCCTGAACCTAATGCCTAGACTGTACTGATCAATTTACTTGCCAGGATGATCAAACTAAACATAAGCACAGACATGTCTGAGGTTTATTAAATCCAAATGGCTGCATCCTCAATGTTGACAAAAAGAGACAAAGGCAGCATTACTTTGGGAAATTCGATTAGAAAAATCTGTAGCGGCACAACGCTGGAAGATATGGTTTTAACTTAGTCCTTTATCACTGCATTTTTAAGACTCTACTTTTAGCCACAACATGTAATACTCCAGTTATATTAAAATAGTCTCTCTGTAGTTTGGAAATGATCGGAAGAAGGCATCAGGGAAATGGGACAGTGGAACAGTTCAAACAGAAAGACAGCAAACTAGAATTTTGGACAAGCCAGAAATCCATCCGATCGGTAATCAGGCGCTATGACTGAAACCCTAACTGCATGCCAAACGAAAACCAATCTGGCAGAAATTGGGCTCTATTCAAAGATCCGTCAGCGACAGTGTCTGGACAGATTTACTGTACATTAGAAAAAAGGAAATGTAAGGATAAAAGTGACATTATCTCCTAAAATACTAGTAGCTCATAAATTGAAGCAAAATGCAGCTGATCAAAGTAAAAGGTCTGGGTTTTCCCTCAAATAGTCCAATTCACTGCATCATGAAAACATGCCATCCATCACAACACTGAATTATTCACCTCTCAAACGCAATTTTGGTAAAAATAGCATGCGCAGTATTGGAGACTCCCTGCACTACACATAGTGAGCATAGAAACATATCTGGTTGCTATGGCAGAGGAACAAGGTGTTGACATTCTGAGACACCAGCAGTCAACACACTCACAGACGTGAATCTTACCAGAATCTGAGAGGGAAGATCCTGCAGGTTGAGAGAGAGAGAAAAACGCTGAAAGAGAGGCTTTTCCAACCCGACTCAGTCACACTGTTATTACTGGGAAAGGTTTGCATGACAGATGAAAAAAAGAAAAATAGAATATGATCATTCAGCATGAGCGGTTGGTCACCTCCTCCTTCTCTGCTCTCCGGTCATGCTCCTTCTTTCTCACACTCCCTCCTTTGCTCTCGCTCTCCCTCTCTCTCTCTATCTATCTATCTATCTCGCACGATAAACATGAAGAAAGGAGCCCGAGAGGCTGCAAAGGGTTTAGAGATAGTGTTTGGATTAAAGGACTGTTTCACTAACGCATGTCAGTGGCAGACTGTCTCTATCTGAGTGTATACCTAAAACGCCCAGGACTCTTTCCCCCTGTCACAGCAGTCAGACGCTGCCTGCCAGTGGAGAGCGACAGCACTTGACTCTGGAAAGCGTCAATGCACACAATTGCCTGGGAGGGGGAGGGGGTATTTGGGGGTGGCGGGTGAGGGGGATGGAAGACGAGGGGGAGGGGGCTGAGGGTTAGGGTAGAGCGTATCTGCATCTTTGGGGTTATGTTCTTTTGTGAATGAGGACTGGAGGTGCAGATGCTGCCATCTCTCAGCACTGTATAACGCCTGGAGTGATATACGCTCAATTTCGGTTTATAAGTTAAACCTATACAAATCTCATACAGTTTCAACACAAAATACACATAAGAACCCCACAAGGCATAGTTTATTCTATGGCCGTTGATTTGCCTAGCTACACCCCAAACAAATTGGCAACACACTCACAGTTCAACTGCAAAGACAGATTGCATCGTCGTGCTTAATCGTGATGTTACTTTTCTCTATGCAAACACTCTAAACAAAGCAAACAACAAGCTGATAAAAAAGGGAGTCTGATAAAAAATCTACAGACTGTCAGTTAAGTCATGCAACACCTTCTTCATGCAAAACCACTCCCTGGGGATTATAAACAAATGCTGCTGATAGCTGCACAAAGACAGAGAGCACCTTTTGCATGGAGTCCCACAGTGACAACCTCCACGGTAACAGAATGTACTGTAGCTCCCAACTCCATTCCCTTCCAGCTGCCTGCTCTCAGCCACACAATACTGGGAACCTTTTCAAAACATCAAGTGAGCATCAATAGCCCTGCACTAACGCATCAGTACGCTTCCTGCACTCTCAGCACTAGCTTTGGGTGCAGCATCTTGGGAATCTTCACATTTCCTCTTCATGTGTTCAAACTAGTACCACTGTTGCCAGATAAATAACTTCTGCAATGCTTGAACTATTGCAAACAATTAAAGCGACGTAGCCTTGCAGGGTGTGGTGGACAGTTCTTCACCTTCATTGTTACCTGACAGAAAAACAGGAAGCCAAGCTTAACATCCAGAGGTTGTCTTTGCACCAGCTGATTTGAAAAAACCATTCAATCATGAGACAATTTTGCTGAGACATCTCTGGAATGTAGCAATGCATTATGCATGGCCAGTAACACACAAGCGCGCACATAAAGCGCCTACACATGCCGCTGTCTGAAGCAGATATGAAGCCAGATGCTTCTCCCTTTGCCAATAGGAAATGATTCCAGCCTGAGGGGTGTTGGGGTACTAGGGTGTGGCAGCCAGGGGAGGTTTGTGTTTGTGTGCGTTTCAAAAAGAGGTGGGGGTTGCCCTAGATGTCTGTTTCATCGAGCCAGAACAGCACACCTCAACATCAGAGCACCAAAGACTGGCCCCTGACCTCTACCCTCTAACTCCTGCAGGACCAAAACAATGAGATGGCTGCAAGTCATACATCAAACCCAACTACCTTGTTTCCTAAAAAGCTCTTAAAAAGGACCCAACCAGTTTTTTCACTGGTTGGGTCCTTGCTGGCTGACTCCACTGCCAGCAGATTCCTGACAATTAGATTGCTAATGAGCGGGAGGGAACAATGAGGGGGTCGTGTGTGTCTGTGTCAAAGACGGCACCTTCTACAGTGACCTCCACAGCAGGAGGGAAATGCTACTGGCCAGACCATTTGCAGGTACTTCAGCCTTTTCTACCACAGTAAACTGGCTGACGACCAAACCTAGCAAAGGGGAGATGAGAAGAAAGCCTCCGAGGACTCAGGAATGGTCACCTTCAGATCCATAAAGACTTTATTCAATTACCTGACAGTCACTCACTCACTGTGGGCATGAGAAGTGACGGGATGTCTTTTAAAAGTCTCCCTTGAGGTGGTCGAATAATTGCATCAGGATCTGATGAAAAAAGAAGTATGTGTGCTTAATGTGAGCTTCTATATATTCAACACTGAAGGCGCTGCCAATTTCAATGCTACCAAGAGAGAGATTTGACATTCAGCCAGGACTTGGTCTGAATCCCAAACAAGGCATCCAAGTAAATAACCGCTGACATCCAACACAAGTGCCATTACTGCACAAAGTTCAAGTTTAACACAAAGCTCCCTTTCAGCAGCATAGTTTCCATTTCCCATCCGTTTTAAATTGATTATTGATTTTAAAAAAGCACTTAAGACGGGTTTCGTGCTTGTGTGCTTCTCCTTAACAAGCCAGAGCATTCTATGTAATTTCATTTAGCTCATGTGAATCTTGTGCTTCCAATGAATGTGGGAAAGGGACAAAGAAGAACTTAAAGATAGCTCAGTTTGTCCACTAATAGAATTTCAAACCTAGACACACACGTGTTAAAAATAGACTAATTAACTTTCCTGAAATGGGAAAACCCAGATAGGCAACATGTGTGCAAAGATTTCATCCTATAAAAAGCAGGTAAGGGAAAGTCTAAAAATCTAGAAAGAAAGAGTTTATCTGGAAGCAATGCACAACAGAGAAACATTATATTCTTACTAACCTCACACAAAATAATATACCTACATTTAACCATTTTTAAGTAAAGTAATTCCAAAACCTACAATGACAACCTCACAGCGCAAACACAACCTCTAACCTGAGGGGAAAGTCAGTGACAGAAATGCCTGAGTCTCAGTGGCACGCAGCCAGTGGTTTAATGATTTGTCTGCTGCTGGTGAATGATCACACAGCAATATCCTGCTCTGGCTAGTTCTCCGAGCCCCCCCTGAGGGTCCGTTTGACATTATTCTGGCTTGCCCTGGTGCCACTGAAGCGCCAGTGGGCCGATCATATTGACAACATCCGGGTGGCTGCCCCCATGGCTGATACGACCTAGCAATGGACCTGTGGAATTAAACCCAATGAGCCAGAAGAATAACTTATAGACATGGAGTGAAGGGATGCCATTGCCCCTGCATTATTTGTGAGATGTTGCGCAGGAGAGGAGGGATGGTAAATGGCACTAATGAGCCAGTGGAAAACAGATTTAGAAAACACAACCGCTGTATTTAAGGGGAAAACTAAATAGCTGGCATGTTCCAAGATTCCACAGTGCTTATGCAATACAAGCCTGTGTATAAAAAAGGAGCGGGGCGTCTATTTACTCCTAAGTGAGGAGCATTCATGCATTTCCCTTTAAGCCTATAGGAAATGTTAAAGAGCATTAGGGAGAGACAAATGTTGCAATAACACTTTAGGAAAACCTTCATTATCAACAGTGTAAAAAACACCCATGACAATTTCCTGGAGCCCAAGGTTTGTGCCTGCTCAACAGTGCAAAACCCCTAAATGTTCAGTTTAGCATCACGTGCAAGACAAGGAAAAGAGGCAAATCTTCAAATTTAAAAGAAGCTGGAAGCATCCAACTAAACTAAACCAATCAACTAATTCATCAATGTTTTTCACAGAATTACTGGGGATTTTGAAGGGACTTGTCTCTTCTTCTTGCTCTCACAAGCCTGAACTTCATTATATGATTGAAGAAGGTACAGAGAAAGACTACAGTGATGATGGTGGAGTTTAACTATATACTTCGCATAAATCCAGTAGAGTCACTGAGACACAGGACTTTAGTTAGCAAGGCCAGAGGGCAAAAAGTGAGACAGAAAGCAGCTCCATAAATACTTATCACTCCCTCCGGTCCATACAGCTCCACACCAACAAGACTAGACATGCATGCAGGTGAAAGGTTTATGATGAGACTCTGATGAGCCCCAGCTGCACCGGACCGTCCTGGCACAAGATGCCTTCTGGCAATGGAACTACAAAAACACAACAGTGCATACTGTAGGCATGTATTTCTCCATGCTCCTACCAGACTTCATATAAACTGTGGTAACGTAGAAAAGTTCTTCATCGCTGTCAATAGTAACCTTTTGTTGTTGCATTGAAAGAGCACCCTTGATGTATGCATGCCAAGGGTAGAAACCCCTGAGTGACCTCTGAGTGCCAGAATGGCATTTAGAAAGTGCAAGGGGAGTTTAATCTTTAAAAAGATTTGTGTGAGCACGGCTGGTGAACACGTAATATTATATTCAAGAGGTATTTTTTCGCTTCAAGGACAGTGACAGCGTCTGCGTGGACTCACCAGTTATCCGCTAACATCTTATTTGTCTGCAGTTGTGCTTTAAAATGTCGCGGGAAAGTACGTTTAAAAGTTTTGTGCAGCGTCAAAAGCGGAGAAAAAGAATAGAATAGTAACGATGGGTTTTTATTCTTTTGTGTCTCCGTTGGGGTTTCGGACACAGTGCAACAAGTGCAGCTGAGCTTGAGTCGGCGACAGCACGCATGAACACGGCTGAAATAACTAAGCCATTTGAAAGTCCCGATGCGATACGTAGCTAGCGCTAACTGAAATGTGCACTAAAATGAAAACGGGTGTTGCTACTCACCGTGTGGAAGTTTTCCTCCTAGTCCCGGTTTGTACGGAGATGAAGGTCGGTGCAGCAGCGTGACAAAGTTTGACTGGTAGCACTCTCTCAGCTCAGCATGGCGGCTGGGACCAGAGACTGCATTCAAACCTCTCCGGGCTGAGATATCAACACAGGGGGAGGGAGGGTGCTGCGGGCGGTGAGAGCCCAGCGGCGGAGCAGGGAAGAAGTAGCACATATGTTACCAACAAGGAAACTGTTATTAATAAAAACATTTTAAGTTATAACTTAAAATATAAATATATAACATATAAATATGTTAAAGTCCTCCATTCAAAATGTATTTAAAAGGGCCCATTTCATTGTAAAGTATATTATGATATGGATTGTAGCCTAATGTTTGTGCATTAATGTGTTTATCACTTCAATGTTGCTTCAAGTAAAGGTAATTATTTTCTGTATTTATATATCTTATCTGTGAATTAACGTATTACATTATAATGTATTGATATAGGCCTACTGGTGCATTTAAAAGTA